GGACCGGAGGGGAGCGCGGGGGGCCCGGACGGGGCGGCCGGGCTCGGCCCTGCTTGTGCCGGGACGGGGGTGGCGGCGGGGGACAGGCCAGGGGGACCCCGCGGGAGGGGAGCCGAGGAGCAAGGGGGGACAGGTCGGTGCGGGGCGGGCTGGCCGGAGCGGTGGGAGACGGAGCCCGCCCGAGGGAGAGGGCGCGCAGGGGTCGCGGAGACCTTTCCCGTCCCCGCGCAGGGAGGAGGAGGAGGAGGCGGCGTTGTCCAGTGAAGGTGCCGCCTTTCCCGAGCGGCTTCTCCCGGCGGGGCAGCACCGGCTGCCCCTGCGGCTCCGGTGCCTCCTCCCTTCCCCTCGGAGGAGCGGGGGGCGGAAGATGCTGTGCCTCCCGGTCGCCTTCCAGTTGCTGCTGGTGCTGGTGCTGTGCAGCCAGGGCACGGAGAGGTGTCCGGCAGCCTTCTGCGAGTGTTCCGACTGGGATGACTACAAAATCACTTGCAGGGACATCCACTTCATTCCCAGCCTTCCTGAGGACACCCAGACCCTGTGAGTACCTTGGGACGGTCGAGGAGGGACACTGCCCGGTTGTGAGTATTCCTGTTTTGCAAGAAGGAGATGCTGTGAGCAAATGCCCTGTGAGATGAGGGAGGGAAGTGTGTGTGTGTGTGTGTAATCTACCTGGGCAGTACAGCATCGTGGGAACAACAGTGAGGACTTCGTGAGTGTCAGGGAGACGTAGGAAAAGTGAGTATCAAACCTTATGGAGGTGTGAAGAGATGATGATCTGTTGGGCCTTAAAAGTTCTGGGTAGGAGCTGGGAAAATTGGTCACCGGAATGTTTGTGGGCAAAGTGAGCAGAAGGCTGGATCCTGTGTGGCATGTGCCTAGGGGGTGAGGGGAAGGAAGGATGGATCAAACACAGTCCTGTAATTCAAAAAAGAGTAGGGATTGGATACGCCACCTCACAAACAGTTCCACAAAAACTTCTCTGCACTTTCAGCTTCTTTGCCAAAGCCCAACAAAAAGAGTCCATGGGAACTGCGAATCCCAATATACCGTCTTGGAGACAAAGTACTTCAGAGGGAAAAAAAAAGTGTGGAGTATGGGATAGAGCAGCAAATTTGGAGCTTTTGCCAGAGAGATAGAACAACTCGAGTACCTCAACCTAAATGTTTAGTACCATTACAGACCCTGTAGAATATCTTGTCTGGGTTCCTGCTGCCAGTCCAGGAAAGTGTCCTGTGTTGTATCTGTCAGCCCCATAGAGATATATCAGATAAATACTCCAGGGAAACCAAAATTGCACCAGTCAGCTATAACTAAGCAGCTAAATCACTCCTGGCTTTTACTTTGTCTCATAAGGTACAAAATGTTTCTAGTCTCCAAGGGAAGATTCATTTTTAAGTAGATTACTTTCTGATAAAATAAACAAACTCAAACTCAGTTGATTTAATTGCATGACAAAACGATAACATTTGGTTGGTTTGTGTCTTGATAGTGATTCTAGGGACTTTGTTTGGAAATATGAGCCATGAACTTATTTGAACTTACTTGAATTAGAAAAGATTTTTTAACACCTGGTAGTAAAGGCTTAGCAAATTGAACACTTACCTGAAAAGCGAGAAAAAAAATATTTATGCTATTTCCATTATTTATGCATGCCTTCAATTTGTCGGGTGATCAGACTGCAGTATTCCAGTTGATAAGTTTTTAAATTATACAGATTTTGTTTGGTTATTATACTTTTGTATATGTGATTTATTTAGTTTGAAATTGCAGTCATGTTACTGTATGTACAGTCTACCATGGCAAGCTAGAAAATAAAGCAGTGTCAGTTCGTAGGAGAAATGAACTATAAATACCTTTGTACGGGTATTTAAAATAGTTAATAGAAACAATGAGATCACATAATGGAATTGGGTACCTTCTTTGAAAAATGCCGGTATGATGGCTGAGAAGTACCTCTCCACATACAGCTTCACAAATAAAACACTTCGGCTGCTGGAGTTCTAGTTTTTAAACACCTCTTTTGAAAGGGGGTCTAAGATCACAAGCCACTGTTTTTAGAAGAGAAATACACCCAGTGAAAATCTTATTTCCATGGAAAAAGTAATTAACAAAAACAACTGAGAAACATTTTTGTATTTATTTTGAGTGTGTTTTAATCATCTGTACCAAGTGGGGCAACCCTTGCAAACTTCTTAAGAAGTGTATTCCCTACCATAGTCATTATAGGATAAGAAAAAAAAAAAACAAGTAATGACAATTGTGATTTTATAGTGTATGGTAGAAAAGGTAGAACATGTGCTGTAGACTCCCTTTGATTTGAACATAAATGGGAAAATTCTCTAAGGAAGTAAGGAAAGCAGATCTTTTTTTAAAAAAACAAAACCAAACATTTTTACTTCAGTTTTCAGTTTTCTCTCTGGATAAGGCATGTATATTTTTTTTTCTGTGTTGAATTGCTGAAGTCTGGTGGACTGTATCTAATTCTGTGGTCCCTTGCTCTCAACAAATGGCTTAATGCTTTCTTTCCTTCCATAAGTTAAATGGTAGCCATTGTAGCAGTTTCTCATTCGGAGTGCACGTGGAGGATAAAATAACAGTTTTCCTCAGAGATTGTGAGGTGTGAGCCCCTGCTTCCATCGTGTTTTACATCTTTCTCCCTTATACCTGGCAACAGTTCTGAATGAAAGACAAAAGATTCCAAAATAACTGAAGTTTCTATTAGCCTTCAGAACAGATCAACACTTCTTTTGAAGTACATAGATGTGCGTATCTGCCCATTACGTGTTGAAACGCTCTGCAATTTTCCCCAAATCCAGCAGCTTTGTTACTTTAGGTGAAGTAACTTTGTTCTCAGTGATTATGCGTGAACCTCGAGATTGTAAATTTTAAAACTTTCTTATGGGGCTATTCAGTTTTGTAAGGTTTCTAAAGCTAAGAGGCTGGTGAGCCTAGGAACGCTTTGCCAGCTTTTGGAGATGATGAGCTCTTTTCAGGGCACAGGATCTTGAACTCCAATTAAAGTTTCATTCCGATTATTCAATTGGGACTGTTCTCATTTCTCTGCCCTACTTTAAGAGAGTGGTGTAAGTGGTTTTTTAACAAGCCATGCTTATAAGAAATTGCAAAAATGTTTATTTCCAAACTCTTTTACTGGAAAATTTTCATGAACTTCAGCCAGGAAAGTGTTTGTTTTAAACTGGTTTTAATGTGTTTGTCCAAATATAGTTAATGCAGGTGCTTATACAGCACGGCTGCACAGTTCTTGGAGCTTTTTTTTCCAGTACAAGATTTTGGTGGGTTTTTTTCTTTTTCTGTGGAATAAACATAATAAGAAGAAAGAAAAAGGTTCTGTGTATTACAAGCAAAGCTTGTCTTGTTGCCTGAAGTTAAGGATCACACCATACTATGGTAGGAAAGCAGTTCTAAGTGGTATTGAAATACAGTACTATAAATATGAAATTTGGTACCAATAATTTTGTCACATCTATAATATTTTCGTGCCTGTCTCTGCACAGCTGACACTTGGCCTGATCTGGTGCCGTTTGACCCCTGCCCGTCCCTCTTTTGCTTCTGCCCCTTCCTGCCCTTGACTCCACTCCTCCTTCAGGCGGTGGCAGTGGCACTACATGCACGGTGCTGAGGGCATCCTTGTCCCAGCCCCTTTACCAGCAACGCTTTTCTCTTTCACCACTGCTGGAACAGAGCACTGGTTGGTGCTATAACCTCCTTCCTGGTGGAATATACCAGGGGAGATCCTAGCCTTTCAGTGCAAGCAGATCTACCAGGAAACAGAGGTTAATGACTGTGAAGAATTACCCACACTTACATATCACCAAAACCCCACTGAACCTTTGACCAAAGATATAATGCTTGAATTATTGTAATACCTTTCTTGGCATCATTATGATGAAATATTTAGACGGTATCACTATCTCAGCATCATATCAATGCAGTTCCCAATGCTTTTCATTTTCATAGAATCATAGAATGGTTAGGGTTGGAGGGGACCTCAAAGATTTATGTATCTATTATTAGTTACTTTTAATTGTTTTTTTTTCTTTGGTAATAAAACTAATAAAGTTTTGTGTCTTGTTTATTTATGCTCTACATCACCCGTGTTCACTTACTAAAATAGCTTCAGCTTCCGTTCCCAATATCATCAATAACCCCACTTAATTTACCAACACCTAAGAACAGCCATAGCAAATCAATCCAATGGCTCGTCTAACAGCACCCTGTCTCAAGGATTTCCCTTCTCTTAATTTTCCACAGGTATCTGCAAATAGAAGTCAGTATTCATGGAGAGTACCATATACATCTCAGCTTCCAATTATTTTTACCTGCAGGAAGGCTTTAAATTCGGTGTGGTTTTGTTATTATTATATATTTGTCTGTGTCTCTTGAGTTTTGTGTCTGTGCCACGTTCAGTTCTCTCTTGAGCCCATTTCAACATCCATAATATCATTCCACAATGAGTTCCACAAGTTTAATAGGAGTTGCAAGAACTCTTTTTTGTCATTGTTGAAAATGCCACATTGTCCTCCCATCAGCAACACCATATACAACATTTTCAGATCCATGTTACATACCTTAAGCCTGCTGGCAATATTCTCATCTCCTCCCTACACCTTCTGTAGCAAGCCAACAGCAGTGTCCTGTGTTCCCTGCCATAAATGGTACTCAAAGTAGTCTCATCTACTGCCCAAAACCTGTGTGTATAAATATATATATTTATACAGAAGGCAGCACCTCCCGAGTTCAGAGCTGAGAGAGTGCTGAATGATTATTCCCCGCATGATGGATAAGGGCTGAGCCTCCCCGCATTTTTTTTCTTTTTTTTTTATTTTTTCCAGAAGGGATGCTAATAAGGTTTCTGTCCTGTACCCAGGTGCTATTTTCACATCACCATAATCAAATTTGGTTGAAATTGGACAAGAGGGAGTTGTGGGGACAGTGGAACTGGCAGATAAATAGGCACAAAAGCAGTACAGACTTTAAGAATATGCTCTTTAAATGGGGCATTAAACCATGATTCTGCATCTGCTCCAGGATATTGACTGTAGGTAGGATACTGCTTTTTGAAGAATGTAATGTAACTCACCCTTCAGGGACAAGGAGCCCTGATGTATGTATGTTTACTACATTGGTAAGGGTGAACACATGGATCCCAGGATAACAAGATTTAGTGAATCAACTGGTCTGGTTTAGTTCCCCGTGCTGTTGTCAGCTTTTGATAAAAAGAGATGTGGAAACTGTGTTAACAACATGTTTTACACATTTGCAATGTGATATTTAGGACTAACAATGATACATCAAATATTCATAAATACTTATTAATAAATATGGGGGGTTCTGAAGTGGAGAATAAAATACGTAGCAACTTAACAGTTTTACATGTAATAGCTACATCACTGGCACCCACATTTTTTATAAGCCTAATGAGTAGTTTAGAGAATTTTGAGTTCACAGAAGCTACAAGCAAAACTGAAGGAGATGTCTCTACTTTATATTGAAAATAAAACTGATTTAAAATATTT